TGGATCTTTACAGGAAGTGTTTAGGAATGCGGTGCAATTCACATGCATGGAGGTGTGACTAGGGTTTATAAACAAAGTGATTTAACTCTTAAATGGCCGAGAATTGAGCAGTGAGACTGCAGGGGCATGATCTATACACCAAAACTGCTTCATTAAGCTAATGTTGTTTTGGTGACTATAGTGTCCCTTTTAACCCTTCAGGACGGAGTCAATAGTACACTTTCTGATCAAAACAAAACGTAAACAAAAACTGGAATTTGCGCTATATGTCTGTTCAACCGTTATTCACCTCTTTCATATTAAATGCACCCACACTTATTATATATAATTTTGTTCAGGAGAAACATGGCTTTCATTTCATATCAAATATTTAGCTATGAAACATAATGTATTATGAATAAAATTAAAAAAACTGTGAGAAATTTTAATTTTTTAAAAAAATTTGTAGTTCCGCCTCACATTTTAGCTGTAAATGTCATAATACTGTTAGGTTTTACTGCAAGAAAATGCACATGTTTGTAATCAGCGATGTCTCACGAGTACAACAGTACCCCCCATTAACAGGTTTTATGGTGTTTTGGAAAGTTACAGGGTCAAATATAGAATATACCATTTTCAAATTGAAATTTGCCAGATTAGTAATGTTACCTTTGAGACAGTGTGGTAGCCCAGGATTGAGAATTAGCCCATAATGGCATACCATATGAAAAAGTAGACAAGCCAAGGTATTGAAAGTGGGGTATGTTTAGTCTTTTTTAATAGCCACTTAGTCACAAACACTGGCCAAAGTTAGCGTTCATATTTATTTTTGTGTGAAAAAAGCAAAAAAATAATATTTGGCCAGTGTTTGTGAATAAATGGCTACTAAGAAAGACTTGACATACCCCACTTGCAATACCGTGGGTTGTCTACTTTTGCAAATTGTATGCCATCATGGGGGTAATTCTCATTCCTGAGCTATCATATACTCTCAAAGGCAACATAACCAATCTGGCAAATTTCAATTTCAATTTGAAAAAACAGAAATATTAGTGTTTCAAGACAGTAAAACATGTCACAATGATGATATTGTTAGTGAACGTTATTGTTTTCCTTTTTATACGCACAAATGGCACTTTCAATGATGATATCTTTGTTGTGATATGTTTTACTGTTTTGAAACACTAATATTTGTATTCAACAAAGTCTCCAGAGTAAAACAGTGCCCCCCATGTATGGGTTTTAGGGTGTCTTGGAAAGTTACAGGGTTAAATATACAGGGTTCTCATTCCTGGGCTACCATACACTCTCAAAGGCAACATAACCAATCTGGCAAATTTCAATGTAAAAAAAATGAAATGCAAGCCTTATATGTGACTAACTTTCCAAAACACCATAAAACCTGTACATGGGGGGTACTGTTATTCTCGGGAGACTTCACTAAACACAAATATTAGTGTTTTAAAACAGTAAAATATATTACAACAATAATATAGTCCATAAAAGTGCCGTTCGTTTGTAAAAAATGAAAAAAACTTCACTTTTACTTAAAATATCATCGTTGTAATACAATTTACCAGTTTTAAACACTAATATTTGAGTTCAGCGAAGTCTCCCGAGTAAAACAGTACCCCCATGTACAGATTTTATGGTGTCTTGGAGAGTTACAGGGTCAAATATAGTGCTTGCGAATTAAATTCTCTGCACTTTCTCCCTGTGTTGTCAGGCATGTCAATCAAATTTGAATTAATCAAATCACATAATTATGTTAAAAGATTACTTAAATATACATGTAGAATTTTAATATATATGCATTTATAGGTATTTATATTCTATGTGTATACTAATGTAATCTTTTATGTAATTATATGTATTTATCTATATATATATATATATATATATATATATTTGCTCTCTTTGAGAGCGATCACATGGCCCCCAGGGGGACTCATTTGCCGGGAGAGGGCTGCCTGGGCTGTCAGGCAGCCTTCCAGAAGAGGATCGCGGCGGAGGTGAGTAGATCTCACCTCCCCTGGGCTTAAGCCGTTACGGCGTTCTATGCCGCCGCAACGGCTTTAAAGCCCTTTAAAGCCGCGACGTCATAGAACGCCGTAACAGCGTTAAGGGGTTAAGCTTTTAAAATGTACATGGACTGTTTTTTTTTTTTTTCCAATACAGTTATTAATTTTGTGTGATGTGTCAATAGATGCTAACAGGACATATGTGTAACGTATTATAAAACTTAGATTTTCCCCATCCTTAAAATTATTTCATATTCTGCACTTATGTTACAAAAATAAAGCATAATTGGTTCATTATAGTTATGCATATCTACATTTGGTACTGTGAACAAACCCGTACACATTACAACTATTAAGTAAGCAAATAAAAGCAGATGGCAGAGGGATTATAGTTAAATGTGTTTGTGTGTGTGTGTGTGTATATTATGTTGTTTTAACAAGAGAAAATGAAAAACAAATAAATGACTGCAGTGCATTTCACGAAATGCAAAACTCATATACATGAGATGTTTTTGATAAAATGAAAATGGAATCATTCAACTTTAATAAAACACTTGGCTCAGTGTTTCATGTCCTTTTTTCTATCACAGAGCTGTGTAAATAAAAATAATAATTATTATATTGATCCCTAAATCTGAAGGCGATAATAGAACTGGGAACACAGAATATTAGTTCCTAAAGGTTGTGTAGAGATAATGACAGCTACAGAAATTCAATAAAACCTCTGTATGAAATGTACTCAAAAACCCTGCATGACACACATTAAACAAAACAATGTGCATTTCACACTGTGAAGATGACTAAATAAATGGTAATATGTGAAGCACTTGTTACAGAAGATACATGATGAATTCAAAGAATTACTTGCCATAATTATTATGTAGAAAGCACCAGTTGTAAAATAACCTCAAGGAAGGCAATAAATGTCTATATGTTTTTGCAACTCTTCTCAGCAAGGCTTCGCAATATATATGAAATAACTTGCTCCATAGTATCGAAGATGATGGCTTCATTTCTATATCAAACGACATGCAAAACAATAGCAAATATAGGGATTATCTCAGTGAGAGAAATGTAAAAAAATAAAATGAAATTCAAGTTTGGCACTACAGTAGCAGCTTGGCATGGAAAATAGTGTGCAATGTAATTTGTCACATAATGGTCTGCAGTTAGTGTTTTATTGTATAAAAAAGGAATAAAGGGTGTACTTGCGTTTCTTCATAATGGTGCTGCTATAGACATCAACATTTATGCAAAATAAATATTAAGGGATTTAGTTACAGAATATATCCATATTGTGTTTATGCCCAGTATTGGCATGCCCTATATTAACCATATTAATTTATATACACACATTAACTGCAATAATTGGAGTTCCTTGAAGTAGTCTATTATAAAGTAGACTATATTTAAGTAGGAGTTAAAAAAACAGGAGTCTAAACAAACCAGGTAATTACCACTTCACTCATAGGCGTTCGCACGGGGTGTGCCGGGTGTGCCTGGGCACACCCTAATCCCCGTGGCACGCCTATGGTTTGAGTCCTGCAGGAACAGCGTTCCTGCACTTTTTTTTGAGCAGGAACGCTGTTCCTGCAGGCACTCAGTGCCCCTTGTCTCACCTCTTGCCCCTGTCATGGGGGGGCAAGAGGTGATGGATTCCCCCCCCCCCACTCAGCTCTCTGCTGTCTGCTCTCTGCTCCCTCTCGCCGCGCGCTGATGCCGGGAGCCGGAATATGACGTCATATTCCGGCTCCCAGCTCCAGCAGACAGCCCGCGCGGCGAGAGGGAGCAGACCGCAGAGAGCTCCCTCGCCGCGGCTGAGCTGGAGAAAGGCGCCCGCCCCACTGGACCCCAGGGAAAAGGTAGGAGGCTGGGTGGACATTTGTTTTTAATTGAAAATATAATAATTTGTTCTTGTGTGTGAGTGTGTGTATGTGAGTGTGTGTATGTGAGTGTGTGTATGTGAGTGTGTGTGTGTATGTGAGTGTGTGTATGTGAGTGTGTGTATGTGTGTGTGTGTCTGTGTGTCAGTGAGTGTGTGTGTGTCAGTGAGTGTGTCAGTGAGTGTGTCTGTGTGTGTGAGTGTCTGTGTCAGTGAGTGAGTGTGTCTGTGTGTGTGTCAGTGAGTGTGAGTGTCTGTGTCAGTGAGTGAGTGTGTCTGTGTGTGTGTCTGTGTGTGTGAGTGTCTGTGTCAGTGAGTGAGTGTGTCTGTGTGTCAGTGAGTGTGAGTGTGTGTGTGTGTGTGTGTGTGTGTGTGTCTGTGAATGTGTGTGAGTGTGTGTCAGTGAGTGTATGTGTGTCTGAATGTGTCTGTGAGTAAGTGTGTGTACGCATATATATATGTATATATATATATATATATATATATATACACACACACACACACACACACACGCAGAGCCGGCGCTATCTGAGTGCCGGCTCTGCTCTAAGCCTACATGGGCCGGCGGGGAGACCAAAAGATCTACCTCACCGGCCCACAGCAGCATGGAGGGAGGCAGGAGAGGACCCAGGGAGCTCTAGACAGAAGCTCCGCCAGGTTCCTCTCGCGATATCTGAGTGTTGCTGCGGCAACGCTCAGATCTCGCGAGAGTTAACTCTAGCCCTGCAGGCTAGAGTTCACTCTCCACTGGACCACCAAGGATGGCACATGGCAGCAAGGATTTACTAATCTGCCAAATCCCTCCAAACATACAGCACACATATACAGCACCTACACACATACAGCTCACACACACATAGTACACTAACCGCACCCTCACAAACACACACAGCACCTTTAAAAAAAAAAAAGCAGCACCCTCACAAACACACACAGACACAAACAGCACCCTCACAAATACACGACACTCACACAAACAGCACCCTCACAGGACAAACATACACACACAAACAGCACAGTCACAAACACACACACACAAACACCCTCACATCACACTAACAGCACCCTCACACACACATCACACTAACAGCACACTAACAGCACACACAGCAGTGTGTGTGTGTGTTTGTGTGTGTGGATATATCTATCTATATATATATATATATATAGATATATATACATATATATATATATATATAGATAGATATATATAGATATATCCACACACACACACACGGCGTGTGTTTGTGCTTTAGGGTGCACACCCAAATGCAATAGGCTGCGCACGCCTATGACTTCACTGTTATATATACTTGTTCCATTTGTTTTGTTTCAGGAAATGAGTGGTAGCAAGATTACAGGTAATACTCAGCGCACATCTTGCAACATGTTTATACCTCTGTAACAGGTAAATGAGTGGCTTTTCTGGAAGCTCATATTGGAGATCTGGAGAAGCAAATTGCAACATTGAGACAGAATGACAATTCTGAAAGGGGTCTGCTACTCACTGAGCATAGTTTAGTGGGGGCATGCAGCAGTGTGGGAGCAGATAAGACAGCTGGGGAATTGGCAGGTTGTTAGGTGACAGTTACATGTGGAATCGGTGGGGTGGATGGAAGAGGAAATCTGTCCAGTTCTGATTTTGTTCACCCTAGCAGATTTGGGAAATAAACTGAAGAAAATTACTCCTATAGTTGTATTTTCAGGCTTCAATTGAAAGGCAGTGTGAGATTCGAGAGATTAATGCATGGTTGAACTTGTGGTGTAAGAAGGAGGGTTTTATCTTTTTAGAGTACTGGGTTAGTTTATGTGGATATAATCTCTATACCGGACTTCCGGCTGCCTAAGTTTTATTGTGACTACTGCGACACCTACCTCACTCATGATTCCCTTTCAGTTCATAAGATTCACTGCAGTGGAAAGAAGCACAAGGGATGGAAGAGCAGGCAAGAGCCTGATTGACAAAACCACGCCTGTTCTGGAATGATGGCAGCCACATCCATGGCTGGTCCCCCTATGATGCCAATGATTGGGCCACCTCCTCCTAGAATAATACCAGTCGGGCATGGTCCTGGAATGAGACCCCAATGGGTGCTCACATCCCTATGATGCCTGGACCCCCTATGATGCAGCCTCCTTCTCGTCCCATGATGCTCCAGTCTAGGCCTGGCATGGCACATCCTGACCGATAATTGGTTATTCCCGGCATTCAGTCTCAAATGTTTAATTTTTACTTGACCTTGAGCAGTGGATGCACATAAAAATATAAACCTTTTGATTAGGAATAAATTAGCAGTTTCTGTGAAATTGTTTGGTTAGCTTGCCAAATAGGTTTTTTATTTGCTTTTGCTCAACGTTTCACTGTGGATTATTTGACTTTCTCTTACTCCATTTCAGCCATTTTGTCAATTTCAGTCAGGTTTAGTCACTAGAGAATGAATTGTTTGAAATTCAAAGTGGCTATTTTGGCATGATTCTCTATGAATGCCTCATAATGCGCACTTTTGTGAATAAACTTGTCAGTGTGGAAATTTAGCCTTTCTCCACACTTAGTAAATAACCCTGCTAGACTTTACTCTAAAGCATGGATGAAACATAAGCGTGTAAGAAAAATACCTCCAGAGGAACCATACATAAAACATGGAAAAATTATTTTGGTTTATGGTTAACCTTATGTTTTTTTAAAGTGGTCTGCTTTGCAGTCATATTTTTGATTGTGTTAATCAACCTGTGGAAGGATTTTTGTTTTTATATTAAAGGTTTTTGCTATAAAGCAGATCTGTATTTTAGTGATGTCACTGTTACTTGTCACAGTTTTCTTTGTTTTTATCAATCTGCTTTTGTAGGCATTTTTACAAAAATCAGGTGTAAGTTAATAAATGGGTAAAAGCAAAAAAATAAAAAACGATCTCTATAGCGGTGACGAATTGCACCTAAACAGGATGGTTAGAAAGTTAGAGGTGATTTTACTAGTGGTAGGGGGAAGGACATACAAAATGAAGATAGAACAGAAACAAGATGGGATTTAGCTTCAAACAAGGGAATAGAGATGGGGGAGTTTAGAACAGAGGAAGTATGCAATAAAAGTTTACATACAGTATAAGTGGCTCATGACAATATGCCTATACCAGTTATGCCTTTAATGTCATACTTTAAGTATATGCTTTCTAATGCATGGAGCCTACATTTAACAAATTGGGAACTACATGCAATAGCATATACTAAAAATATGACATAATAGTCATAACAGAAACATGGTGGGATGAGACACATGACTGACCAGTTAACATATTATTTATGAAGGAAATAAGAAGAAGGGTTCAGGGATATGTGTGTATGTCAACTATGAGTTAAAGTCAAATATTAAGCAAGTAGTACGTGACAAGTAAAAAGAGAAAACATGGAATCCTTATGGGTAGATATCTGCTTGGGGCAAAAAAAAGGGGAAATCAGTTATTGTTTGGAATATGCTATAAACCACCTAATATTGGTATTGATGTGGAAGAACAGCTGAGAAAGTTCAACATTTGTGTAATACTTTAATTATTGGAAATTTTAATTAACTGGACATAAATTGGGATATAGGTCTAGTAGTTCAGCTAGGGGAACCAGGTTTTTAAACCTGTTAAATGACACCTTCATATAATAATTGGTAGAAGCACCAACTAGAAAGGATGTTTTTCTGGACCTTGTTATAACAAACAATGTTAATCTTTTGTCAAACATTCAAGTAAGAGAGCACTTGAGAAAGTTAGATCACAATATGGTGTCTTTTGAACTAAACTTTTAAAAAAGCAAAAGCACACGAGTAAACTAGCACATTTAATTTAAAAGGCCAATTTCAATAGAATAGGGAGAGCTTTACAATTCAAAAACTATTTTGTTGAAAAAACCACTGAGGATAAAAGAAATATTAGAAAGGCACATTTCTCAGTAGATATCATTGGGTAATAAATGTAAAAAAACAAACTGAAACCAATGTTGCTTAGTAGGAAGGTAAACCAAGAAATTTAAAATAAGTAAAGGGCAATTAACCCTTTAAGGATGGCAGGTGTACTATGCTGTCCTTAAGGAGCTGAGCCTAAATGCCGGCGGGTGGCATAGAACGTCCCGTCATCCAACCCACTTACCCGTTTGCCGCTGTTCCCCTGCTGGCGATCAGGGTTTCTCCTGGTCTGGGGAGACTGCAAATTAGGCCCCCACAAGCCATGTGATCACTCTGAAAGAGCAGTCACATGTCCGCAATAGGCGTCCATAGTGCTGCCTGCAGGGGGACTGCCTGTGCTGTCAGGCAGTCTCCCCACTGCTTAAAAATAAAATATTAATTAAAAAAACTATATATGTATATATATATATATATATATATATAAATGTATATATATATACATATATGTGCACGGGCAACCATCAATATGATTAATGCAACACTGTGTAGAGGCATAACCTGTTATAGGAAAAGTCGGCTGAGGTGTGCCAAAACCGACGTATGCGGTAGGCCTGTAAATAAAGTGGGCAAAAAGGAAGAAGTACAATGCCTTTGAATATTTATTTAGATAAAGAACATAATACAAAGAGAATACGTTAAGATGACATTTTTATAAAAGCCTTCTGCATTTCCTGTACCGGTTGAGATATGTATACTGAAAAAGCGGAGGACTTCAACGACCCAGAGACTTGATAACTTGGACTGGTATGTTCTGGCTGGATGCGGTAGAAGCAGCCCCTATCCTGAAAGAGAGACCTGAATATTTACTAGGATTCAACCCACTTACTCTTGTAAGTAATAATCGTACGTACAGCATGAATTTTGAGGTAGTTAGAACCGCCCCGTGAAGTGACAGCATTGGTTGTGCTGATAGTGTAGGTAGTGCTAGGAGATAAGAATCAAAAACCTACACTGGGCACCATCTATTATGTATGGGGTAGTATGGGATCTGGACTAGTTATGCCAGTTGACTAGTTTTGGTAACGGTAGAGACAGTGTGTTGTGACCCTGGTGTTTTATTAGATAGGAACGCATAAGGCAATCTTGGGAGTTAAGTTTACTATTGATGGTAAACTCTTGTGGTCTAAGGAATCCACAAAAGCCAGGTACATGGCAATTTTAATGACTGTGTTTGTGAGGGATTCAAAAGGGGCTGACACTAGCAAGTCCGACATATCTTTAAACAACTGTTTATCAATGGGCAACCTTTCATGAGGAGTAGGACCGCTGGCTTTGTTTATGCCTTTGAGTATGGTCTTGATTGGATATGAGGAAAGGAAACTGGTACTGTCTGGGTGAGTTGAATGCATATGGTGCTGAATGCCAGTTAGGTATAGCTTGATAGTATCATGGGATAGTCCTAACTTAAGTTGGCGAAAAGTAGCGAATGCTACCAGAGATGTAATGTCAAACATGTTATCCTCATTATGTTCAGACATGAATTTCTTATATAAAATGAAAGCTCTATTGTATGATTGACGAGTGTTAGTTGATAGGGCCATGCTAGTTAAAACTTGACTATGAACCAGTAAGTCACTTAATCCATGACTAGTTCTTGGAATGGAGGGGCGGCTGTGGGTAGATGCGAGGCAGTAGGTAGGGTTTCTCGGAATGCCTGGAATTGAAAGCAAGACAATTGGTCAGTTACGGTATTGAAAACTGCAGGGACATGACAACAAACCAAATAAAAGTGATTACAGGCAGCTAGCCAAGTCAGTCTCCTAAAGAACCTCATGATAGCCAGTGAGGATGAACGCCTTTTGTGAATGATATGGTAAGTAGCTTGGTTGTCGGACAGACATCAAACTGAGCAGCCAGCCCATTTCCCTGTGACCAAACCTGTAGTGTTAGTCCTCCAGTTAGAGAATGGAGGTTCCTTAAAAGATCCTTATAAAAACCCTTCTCCCAGTTCTAGATGTAAAAGTGTATCAACTGCATTAGTACCAGCCATAGCTGATTGGATGTTGCTGCATTCTACAATACCTGTCAGTAAGTGAATAATACCAGTATAAAAATCCTGTGTAAAACCACTAATTAAGAAATCAACCACATGTTTGAAAGTGTGAGTAGTTAGAGAGCTTGCCAGTGAAACAACCTTGTGCATTGTGTTGGCCACTGATGGTGAATTCTCGTGGCCTCAGGAAGCCATAAAAGGCCAGGTAAATAGCGGTTTCAGAGTTTGTGAGGGGTATGAAAGGGGCTGAATCTAGCAAATTAGACATATTTGGATACCCCTAAGTATAGTCTTATTGGATAGGATGAAAGGAAACTGACTTTGTTGGAAAGTAGAGAAACGTGATGTTGGATGCCAGTCAGGCGTAACTTGATGGTATAGTGAGATAGCCTAAACTGAAGGTGGCAAAAAAAGTGGTGAACACAACCAGAGACATAATAACCAACATTATGTACTGAAGGACCACATACCTTGGATGTGAATAGTAATGGAAAGTCTTGGTGACAGCAATTGCTGGGAGACCACTAAGGGCAAAACTTGAAATACCTTAGAACCTGGATGAGTAATACTGTGTACATTGAAATAGTTGAATGTGCAAGACACGTGAGCCCTACAAGGGATAAGGAAATTGTTGTAAACATGTAAGTGACAACCAATATAAACCTTGCAAACAATTGAGGGGTAACACAAGCGACTTAGACTAAACCAGGTGGCATGAATATGAAAATACCAGTATATGACATCAAACTTAAATTAATAGCATTAACGCATATAGCAAAATTCTAATAATGCAGAAACTCTGGAAAGTAAGTGAATCGTGAACCTGTCACATGTATAAGCCCCTGTTGCTTGAAAATAATGGGATAGCTGAACGTAGTGATGAACGTAGATAAGTGATTAATATAGTGAGGGCCAAGTTGACAAACCAACTTATATAGGGGAAATAATAATGTAGAAAGGGTTGAGAACCGGAAAAGTATCAATGCTGAAGAAAACCAAGATTTGCATAGGTAACTAGTATCAGTATCAACAAGAATATACGATGAAAAGTATCTACAAGGACCATAACGGTGGACAATTCAAGCTAACAAGTGTATGAGAAGCCAACCAACAACCCGTAATTAGTATAACTAAACCAAAGTAAACCTTTGTTAGCTAATGAGTCCCATGAGTGTTGTAGTTAATGTAACTACAGTGAATGTATATACAAGTTAGTTTATATTTGTGAACCATATGTGTAGGCCCAAGTTGGGCTTGACATGATTGATTCAATCAATAGCGACACTTAGCCATGTAGGGGCCCAAGACATATAATAGAAGTACAGTTGCAAAAAAAAGTATGTGAACCCTTTGGAATGATATGGATTTCTGCACAAATTGGTCATAAAATGTGATCTGATCATCATCTAAGTCATAACAATAGACACTCACAGTCTGCTTAAACTAATGAAATGTTGCCATGTTTTTATTGAACACACCATGTAAACATTCACAGTGCAGGTGGAAAAAGTATGTGAACCCCTATACTAATGACATCTCCAAGAGCTAATTGGAGTGAGATGTCAGCCAACTGGAGTCTAATCAATGAGATGAGATTGGAGGTGTTGGTTACAGCTGCCCTGCCCTATAACAAACACACACCAGTTCTGGGTTTGCTTTTCACAAGAAGCATTGCCTGATGTGAATGATGCCTCGCACAAAAGAGCTCTCAGAAGACCTACGATTAAGAATTGTTGACTTGCATAAAGCTGGAAAAGGTTATAAAAGTATCTCCAAAAGCCTTGCTGTTCATCAGTCCACGGTAAGACAAATTGTCTATAAATGGAGAAAGTTCAGCACTGCTGCTACTCTCCCTAGGAGTGGCCGTCCTGTAAAGATGACTGCAAGAGCACAGCACAGACTGAGGTGAAGAAGAATCCTAGAGTGTCAGCTAAAGACTTATAAAAGTCACTGGCAAATGCTAACATCTACAATCTACAATACGTAAAACACTAAACAAGAATGGATTTCATGGGAGGATACCACAGAGGAAGCCACTGCTGTCCAAACAAAACATTGCTGCACGTTTACAGTTTGCTCAAGAGCACCTGGATGTTCCACAACAGTACTGGCAAAATATTCTGTGGACAGATGAAACCAAAGTTGAGTTGTTTGGAAGAAACACACAACACTATGTGTGGCGAAAAAAACCTCATCCCAACTGTGAAGTATGGTGGTGGGGGCATCATGGTTTGGGGCTGCTTTGCTGCGTCAGGGCCCGCATGGATTGCTATCATCGAAGGAAAAATGAATTCCCAAGTTTATCAAGACATTTTGCAGGAGAACTTAAGGCCATCTGTCTACCAGCTGAAGCTCAACAGAAGATGGGTGTTGCAACAGGACAATGACCCAAAGCATAGAAGTAAATCAACAACAGAATGTCTTAAACAACAGAAGAAAATATGTCCTGACTTCAACCCTATTGAGATGCTGTGGCATGACCTCAAGAAAGCGATTCACACCAGACATCCCAAGAATATTGCTGAACTGAAACAGTTCTGTAAAGAGGAATGGTCAAGAATTACTCCTGACCGTTGTGCACAACTGATCTGCAACTACAGGAAACGTTTGGTTGAAGTTATTACTGCCAAAGGAGGTTTGACCAGTTATTAAATCCAAGGGTTCACATACTTTTTCCACCTGCACTGTGAATGTTTACATGGTGTGTTCAATAAAAACATGGCAACATTTCATTCTTTGTGTGTTATTAGTTTATGCAGACTGTGATTGTCTATTGTTGTGACTTAGATGATGATCATATCGCATTTTATGACCAATTTGTTCATAAATCCATATCATTCCAAAGGATTCACATACTTTTTCTTGCAACTGTAGATATGTTCCAGTAAGGGGACGTATACCGGAAGCTGAAGAAGGCACCACTGTGAAGCTACATATTAATGAAATGCTAAATATGATAGTAGTGAAATTCGCCCTGAAAGAACAAACATACACTTAGTAGAAACTGATTAAATCAGCCGTGGCAGGCCTGCCATGGCGATTTCTATGAGTACAAGGTAGGGCTGGCTCAACTTAAAGATGACATGTTTTAGTATAATAATGATGTCACAATATGTCTAATAGGTGTGGCATCACAACTTATCTATATCCTAATTCACCTATTGGTGTAAAAAGTTTCAGACAGAAAGTCGAATAACATGACAGAAAGTCAATATCCCGTGGGATATCTGAACGTACAGGCGCACATGCTCAATATTGAATTGTGTTATGATCATATGCATACAGAGGACCCTGTGAGGGTCAGCATCCAGTTGATGGCATGGTTCGACAACGTATTTCTAGTCTTACAGTCTCTCATTTATTTACACCTTAGAGGACACAAGTGCTGAGAACGTTGCATGGAGGTTAGTGTTGCTTGAGCAACTCATGCCTACTCCAGCATCAGCATTGTCCATATTGGTACTCATGAGCCTGAACAGTTCCGCTTTCCCGGCGGTTGCTGGGAAAGGAAAGTTGCATCTGTGTTGCTCAGCCACAATACAAGGAATGGTCCATGACCTGATGGAACCGGATAGGTGTCACCTTTTCGTATAGGTGTAGTGGACCAGACTGGAGTACTGGGGATTGACATGTCATCACCTTCTTACAGGGATCTGAGACATACTGCAATATATTAATATTTAGCTTGGATCAGGATCGTTTTACTGGCTGGCTAGCTAGTGCCAAGTGACGAAGCAATTCACTAGGTAGGTGACAGGTGAGGCCCTGCTAGCTGCCAAGTGGCTTGAGAGGCTCTATCTATGCTTTGGCATGAGGGGATTCATGGCCACCTAATGTTGTGGCGGGGTGTTGGCCTCTTGGTGATAGTTAAATCATGAGATAGATTGGGTGTGACAAGTGAGGCCCTCTCTATGTCACTGTGTGAGGTGGGTAACTATGTTTTGGCCCAGGGTGCGTAATACCTCATGTGTGGAGGATGGGTGTTGGCCTTGCGGAACCACCAACTCCAAGGCAGAGATGCCAGAAACTTAACATCTATTGGTCACCTAGATCCCTATAAGCCAGTAAAACCTACACACTGAAAAGGTCTATATTGCGGGGGAGCCATTGTGGCTAAAAACTTACTTGAATTTATATAATAGTTTGTGTAGTTCTGTATGGTATGGTTGTAACCTGTAACTGAAATCTTGAGTACCCCCTAAAGGAGGCAGAGATGGGAAGGAGAGTTCTATAACCTATGAAAAGAACCGTAACTGACAAATGGGTGCGAGGTCTGAAAAGCAAATGATGCTCCGAATTGATAACCTGTAAAATAATATGATTTGATAAGACATAAGGAAATGGATGTTAGCAAGACATTGTGAGTACCACTGTATCCCCCATGTACAGGCCCCATGGCGTCCCGGAAAGCCACAGGACCAAATATCCGCAGACAGGAACTGTAGTGTTAAACCATGCAAACATATTTAGGGAAATCTCAAAATAAGATTAGAAAAGACACATAAATATGTTTGGAAGCAAAGCCCTAGACTGCAGAAATGCACATGTAAATATAGGCAATGTGTCCCAAGGCGTATCGTCTATCGTAACTCATCTAAAATGCCACATCGAAGGTAATACCTGTTTGTGGCATTATGCTAATCAGACCGAGGAAATATTACTGCTACATAACTGTAAAAAAATGATATCCATATACTAGGTGCCTATAAATGTACTACCCAGAACCTAAAACAAGACATTATATTCTTCCAAAATCTATAAATGTTTCCAATGAAATGCCCAAACGAGGTGCAGAATAAGCCTGTGGCAGGTTGCCCATTACAGGGCATATGAACACACATTGTAAAGGCAGAGTGATGCCAGGAGTAGGAAATATGTGTATCCTGATTTGTATCCCGAGTTTCAGGGTGGTTGTGCAGACTGTGTTGGGATTAATGCGGGTGAAGGTAGGATGTGAATCGGAGAATGGTTGTGGAGTTTGTGTATGTAGCTAAGACATGTTGGTGATGAGATAATAAAGAACCCGATAGTTACAAATAATCATCTAGTTTATGAAATGGTGAAAAGAACAGAAACTGTATATAAACACTTAAAAAACATCATATAATACATTTGCACTGAGCCCAAAAGACGAGGTGTTGGAAGACAGAATCAAAACGGGAACCTCTAGAATGCCACAGTGGCTGAACAGGCTAGAGACTATGATGGTCGTACACAATACATAGGAAAAGACAGGAGATATAAGACATACATTAAAAAGACCTACACCTGGAATGCTTAGGAGGATGATAAATACTTATGCATACACAGCTGGCATTGAAGATTAGGGTTGAAAGCAACAGAAAATGCTAGAATAATCCTAGAATATCTCAGTGATATTAGCATGAGATATAAAACTTCATTGCTTAAACTGAACATGACTGAATGATGTTCCTAATGCATGTAGACCGTACAAAGAAAGTCTGTGTATTGTTAGAAAGTGAGGGAATGCAAAAGCAGTAGACAAGAGAACTGCAAGTTTAGCTAGCTGTTTAAGATTATACCCCAATGAAAATTACATAATTAAATGTGCACATGCTGTCATTTGGGGCATATCTACTAAACAGTGAATTACCAAACAAGGTTGGCCCAATGAGTACCTGAATACCCAGAGGGCAGACAAACATTAAAATGTAGGGTGACTAACTGAAATGCATATGATACCGTTTTATGAATTTGAGGTCATTTAGTAAGAAGACTTAAGACATTTAGAAGATATTCTCCTTTCAGAAAATAAGGGATTTTACATTTATGTGTACAGAGAATGTATATACAAGTTTATATTTTACCAAATGTATAGGCCCAATTTTGGGCCTGACATAAATTTAGACAGTCAGTGGCAAAACACCTGGCCACATTATTACTAAACAGTGAAGACTCAAAAAGTGCATGAAATGTAGAGTGAAACAATTGCAGGGTGATAAAAGTCGATATGGCCTAGTGAGGGCAAAATACAGTAAGCAGAATGAGGCATTGCTGCCAAAATACAGCAAGCAGAATGAGGCATCACTGCCAAATACAGTAAGGAGAATGAGGCATGTTATGTACGATTGAAATAGGCTGAATTTGCTTCACTAGTAAAATTTGCCATATTCAAATGGCTGAACAAACAAACTTACGGCCTTGTTGAAAAACCAACAGTTATAGAAGCCGTGGCTGGGCTGGACGCGGCAGTGCCCCAGGAGCTTCTAATGAGGCGGCTGTTTACTAGAGTGAGGTAAAATATATACTTGCGTGGGCCACACTAGACCAGGACCAACTTGTTTAGAGTTTAGGCAGTTTGTATTGATGGTCCATAAGCCCCTCCCACAACTTCAGGCCAAGCCTTCAATATATATAATGTCATGATAAGTGTATTTTTTTTATTAATATACAGGGAGTGCAGAATTATTAGGCAAGTTGTATTTTTGATGATTAATTTTATTATTGAACAACAACCATGTTCTCAATGAACCCAAAAAACTCATTAATATCAAAGCTGAATATTTTTGGAAGTAGTTTTTAGTTTGTTTTTAGTTATAGCTATGTTAGGGGGATATCTGTGTGTGCAGGTGACTATTACTGTGCATAATTATTAGGCAACTTAACAAAAAACAAATATATACCCATTTCAATTATTTATTATTACCAGTGAAACCAATATAACATCTCAACATTCACAAATATACATTTCTGACATTCAAAAACAAAACAAAAACAAATCAGTGACCAATATAGCCACCTTTCTTTGCAAGGACACTCAAAAGCCTGCCATCCATGGATTCTGTCAGTGTTTTGATCTGTTCACCATCAACATTGCGTGCAGCAGCAACCACAGCCTCCCAGACACTGTTCAGAGAGGTGTACTGTTTTCCCTCCTTGTAAATCTCACATTTGATGATGGACCACAGGTTCTCAATGGGGTTCAGATCAGGTGAACAAGGAGGCCATGTCATTAGATTTTCTTCTTTTATACCCTTTCTTGCCAGCCACGCTGTGGAGTACTTGGACGCGTGTGATGGAGCATTGTCCTGCATGAAAATCATGTTTTTCTTGAAGGATGCAGACTTCTTCCTGTACCACTGCTTGAAGAAGGTGTCTTCCAGGAACTGGCAGTAGGACTGGGAGTTGAGCTTGACTCCATCCTCAACCCGAAAAGGCCCCACAAGCTAATCTTTGATGATACCAGCCCAAACCAGTACTCCACCTCCACCTTGCTGGCGTCTGACCTTTACCAATCCAGCCACGGGCCCATCCATCTGGCCCATCAAGACTCACTCTCATTTCATCAGTCCATAAAACCTTAGAAAAATCAGTCTTGAGATATTTCTTGGCCCAGTCTTGACGTTTCAGCTTGTGTGTCTTGTTCAGTGGTGGTCGTCTTTCAGCCTTTCTTACCTTGGCCATGTTTCTGAGTATTGCACACCTTGTGCTTTTGGGCACTCCAGTGATGTTGCAGCTCTGAAATATGGCCAAACTGGTGGCAAGTGGCATCGTGGCAGCTGCACGCTTGACTTTTCTCAGTTCATGGGCAGTTATTTTGCGCCTTGGTTTTTCCACACGCTTCTTGCGACCCTGTTGACTATTTTGAATGAAACGCTTGATTGTTCGATGATCACGCTTCAGAAGCTTTGCAATTTTAAGAGTGCTGCATCCCTCTGCAAGATATCTCACTATTATTGACTTTTCTGAGCCTGTCAAGTCCTTCTTTTGACCCATTTTGCCAAAGGAAAGGAAGTTGCCTAATAATTATGCACACCTGATATAGGGTGTTGATGTCATTAGACCACACCCCTTCTCATTACAGAGATGCACATCACCTAATATGCTTAATTGGTAGTAGGCTTTCGAGCCTATACAGCTTGGAGTAAGACAACATGCATAAAGAGGATGATGTGGTCAAAATACTCATTTGCCTAATAATTCTGCACTCCCTGTACATATATTAATATAAAAATTCACAGTATTAAATAACACACACATATACATATATATATATATATACACACATATATATAAATATATATATATATATATATATATATATATATATATATTAACTTCATATATTATATATAAATATATATATAATAAAATATAAATAATAAAAATAAATAAATAAATGATTTAAAAAAAAATATATATGTAATTTCATTCTAACTGTATTTTGATATTGTGGCGAAAATGACCTCGCCACTGTTTTTGGGAGGGGCCTGTTTGCTTGCCTCCTACCCTGTGACTATGGGCCCTGCAATATACCTTGCCCAATCCACTTTAAAAGGCTCCATTCATGTAATGTAAGTACTTTTGTACTCCAGAAAGAGAGAACTACCGCTGGCCCTGTTTCCCTGGAACTGTTTTGGGCATAGGACCACATGCACAGTCGGTCAAAACTATGACTTCCAGGAAATTCCTGAACCCCTGAACTGATCTGGGTGATTTTTTGATATGTTGTTCACCCAGATCAGGGCTATCAGGGGATGTAACTATGGGGATATGTTGTGTTTTGGGGTACTTACTGGACTTTATAAAAATGTGTTTTTTTTCTGCCTGGGGATAATTAAGTTAATGCATTATCTGCCTTAATTATATCACAGGCAGAGGGGAGTGTTTGTGTACTGTATGTGGGAGTGTCATTCATTGTCACATTGTTTCTATTGGCTTGTACACTTTGTGTCCCTGTGCCCAGCAAGGTCCACCTGGGCGTCACCTTTGTTGGGAAACCTGCATAAAAGGCCAGTGTGCCTCCATTAAAATTGAATTCCTGTTTTACCCTCAACATAGAGCCTCGTCTCACCTGTGGGGGAAAAGGCTGCATCTACCATGGGGATTGCTATATCACTATACTCTCCTGGGATTATAATCACTAAGCTCTTTTAAGAGCTGTTTCTACTATGCTCTCTGGGAGTAGGAGAGGTCTGCCCACTGGAAGCTGTATCCCGGTCTTGGTTCCAGAGTGGGTGAAGGACGGCGAGACCCCGGCGCAGCTTTATTGCTGGAAGTGGGGTCTGCACTGCTTATGGTGTCTGGTGGAGTGCTGGAATTCCTCGATGAGCACTAGGAGCATCGATTGGAGGAGGCACTTGGCCAGAGTACTAGGCGGTCCATCACAGATATGAGTATATATATTCATATCAAAATAAACTTAGAATGAAATTATATATATATATATATAGTATATATAAAAATAATAAAAAATATAAATATATCCATATACATAATTACATAACTTCATAAATGTACACGTAGACTTCATATATATATAAATATGTATATATATTTAAATTCTACGTCCATGTTTATGTAATATTTTTACATAATTACATATTTTTATTGATTACAATATGAGGGACCTGTCTGACAACCCAGGCAGAAAGTCCAGAAAATAAAATTTGCTAGCACTATATTTAACCCTGTAACTTTCCAAGACACCCTAAAACCCATACATGGGGGGCACTGTTTTACTCTGGAGACTTTGTTGAATACAAATATTAGTGTTTCAAAACAGTAAAACATATAACAACAAAGATATCATCATTGAAAGTGCCATTTGTGCGTATAAAAAGGAAAACAATAACGTTCACTAACAATATCATCATTGTGACATGTTTTACTGTCTTGAAACACTAATATTTCTGTTTTTTCAAATTGAAATTGAAATTTGCCAGATTGGTTATGTTGCCTTTGAGAGTATATGATAGCTCAGGAATGAGAATTACCCCCATGATGGCATACCATTTGCAAAAGAAGACAACCCAAGGTATTGCACATTTTTTTTTATTTTTTTTAAATTTTCAAAATTTAATAAAACTTTATAGTGTTCTTTTTTTTTTTTTTAATTCTTTATTTTTACTCAATAGACATAGCAAGTTATTAACGACTTTGGTCTTATGCAAAAGCCATTGTAATAATAATAGTATACATAATACAGCTTGACAATTATAGTATATGCCCATTCATAATTGAGCCATCGGCACTTGCCGTCTACTGAGGATTTTTTATTTTTATGCAATTATAAACAATATATTCACAGAAAAAAAGAAAAAAAACCTTTTGCCCGATCCCTGTTAAGGCTGATAAATAAGTCAATTAAAGTACAATTCCTTTTGGTCACACTGAATAAACTCCAACCTTGCCATACTGTTGGCGTCTGCCGGTTAAGTAGATATCTTGTAGTCTATGAGCTCCTTATCTATAAGAGGCATGTGATCCCAGCTGGGCCTATGTATAAGCTAAATAACTGCTATGCCAGATAGGAGTAATCAAGAACCACTCCGCTCTATTAATGCCAACCCATTTCTCATTGTACGGTAGGCGTTTGCCATCTATAGAGAGGATATATGCAGATCATGATACAAGTAGGTACAAATGACAGCAATCAAACAGATGCGCTAATCAGTGTTGTGTCATTGTTACATTTTCCTCCCACCGTATGACCTAGCCTGGAAAAAAAAAAATTAAAAACAAAAGCAGAGAAAAAGGAAAGAAAAGAGGGAAAAAAAGAGATAGATAGGAAAGAGTGTGCAGTAAATTAGAGGGAGGTTTAGAGGAGGGAGAAAAGGAGGGGGGGGGGGCAAACGGGGAAGGGTCAAAAAGCAGCAACCCCGCTGGCACAGAAGACCCCGCTAGCAGTGATGATTTCCGTTACGAATCATACTTGGGCGAGGGGAGGCTCTCACTCTCCTCTCGAGCCAACTACACTATTGTCCCAAGGTTCCCAAATTTTATGGAACGTCGATACATTACCTCTCACCCTTGCTGTTAGATCGTCCATCACTCTACATTCTTTAATTCTAGATATAACCCCCGCAAAATCCGGGCCCTCTAATGTAAGCCATGCTGACGCTATTGCTCTGCGTGCACACAGTGTGATTTTGTGTACCAACTTCTGCTCCCTTTTGGTCCATCCATCAATTGATCTATTCAACAACATTTTCAGGGGTCTATCAAACGTCTGTCTCAACAGGTCTTCAACAGACTTCCAGAAACCTAGTAGCCTTGGACACCCCCACCACATATGAATATAGGTCCCTCGTGCTCCACATCCTCGCCAACAATCATCTGTCTCCCGTTTGTGCATTCTATGAAGTTTGACTGGGGTAGTATACCATCTGAACATAGTTTTCCATGCCTGCTCCTGAAGGGTGACACAAATGGAGACCCTAGCGCTTGCGTCCCATATCTCCTGCCACTCGACCCCTTCCAAAATCTCCCCGAGATCATTCTCCCATTGGTCAATGTAAGTTAATTTCCCCCATTCTTTATTTTCTCCGCTAAGGTGTGCGTATAAGAGAGTAATCAACCCCTTGGGGGTTACCCCCTCCGAGCAAATCCTCTCATAAAAAGTGGGCTTCCCGGAGGCAGACGATTTGATATGTGGCTTTTTGGCGAAGTCACGTATTTGAACATACCTAAAGAAATCCGCAGGGGTTAGGTGGTTTCCTGCTTGAAGATCTGCAAATTGTACTACCTCTCCATTGTGATATAATTGATGAATCCATTGTAGCCCAGTCCTTTCGATGTTCCTGAAATCTCTGGGGGCCATACCAGGTGGGAATTCCCTGTTTCTTAAAAAAGGGGTCAATGGGGAAGGGGATGATGCCAGTCCGTATTTTGTGCTACAAGTGTCCCATATTCGGATCGAGTTGAGGATTGCCGGGCATGTTTTTCGTATCTCCGGTCTATGTTCCGGCGAGACCCATATCGTAAACTGGGGTACGTCAACACCCACCATCATAGACTCTATTTCCACCCACCTTCTCTCATCCATTGTGGAATGCCACATGGCTATCTGCGCCAGTTGAGCCGCTAAGTAGTAGAAATAGAGATTCGGAAGGCCCAATCCCCCTCTGTCCTTACGACGGTATAACACTTGTTTAGCAATTCGATGTCTCTTGTTCTGCCAAATAAAATCGCCAATCGATCTTTGCAGTGGTAGCAATTGCATCTTCGTTACTCTTATAGGTAGCGCCTGGAAGAGGAATAATATACGTGGAAGGATGTTCATCTTCACTGAATTTATCCTACCGACCCAGGATATGGGTTTTTCAGTCCAGTTGTCTAAGTCTCTCATTAGGTCTCGGAAGATAGGGGTGTAGTTAGCTAAGTATAAGCGTTCGGGATCAGCTGTCATATTAATTCCCAGATACTTCAGAGAGTCCGTTTCCATGCGGATCTGGTAAATCTCCTGTAACCTAACCGTATCAGCTTGCGACAAGCACAGTGGTAGGGCACTGGATTTCTGAATATTTGCCTTATAACCTGATAACGTACCGTACTCTGCTATGACTTCTTGTATTGCTGCCATTGATTCCATAGGGTTCGTGATGGTCAGGAGGACGTCGTCCGCATAAGCTGAAACCTTAAATTCCTTGTCCCCCACCCGTACACCAGCGATGTTCGGGTGTCGTCGGACTGCCTGGAGTAAGGGCTCCAGGGCCAAAACGAAAAGAAGGGGAGAAAGTGGGCATCCCTGTCTTGTTCCGTTATGCAGCTGGAAGGGATGTAGTGGGGCCCCCGATATCTGCACTTGTGCCCGTACGTTGTGATACATTGCTCTCGTCATTGTTAGGAATTCTTCTGGGAAGCCCATGTTCTTTAAAACTGGGAACAGAAATTGCCACCGGACTCTATCGAAAGCTTTCTCTGCATCAATGGAGACTACTAATGTAGGGGTCCCCAATGCCACCTGCCTCCATATCAAATCAATATTCCGTCTAGTGTTTTCGAATAATTGTCTACTCCTGATGAAACCGACTTGATCTGCATTGATGAGAGAATTCAGCAAAGGGTTCAACCTATCGGCCAGTATTTTCGCTAATATTTTCAGATCATGGTTGATCAGCGAAATGGGCCTATAGTTTTCAGGATATAATGGATCCTTCCCGGGCTTGGGCAAGAGCACTATGGTCGCCAATGACATGTCTGGGTCCAAATGTCTACCCTGCCGTAGGCTATCGAATAGTTGGACTAAATGTGGCGTTAGCTCTTTTCTAAAGGTTTTGTAATATGAACCATCGAACCCGTCTGGCCCCGGTGCTTTATTGCCTTTCAAGCTCGAGATAGCTTTGTCCACGTCCTCTTCCGAAATATCCGCCGCCAGCGTGTGTGTCGCCTCCCCAGTCAATCTAGTCATCCCCTGCTTGTCTAGATATTGCAAAATACACTCTTCTTCATGGTCTCCGTGAGGGCTTCCGTCCGGGGTGTGGTTGTATAATCTTTTGTAAAAATCCTCAAAAATCTCAGCTATCTCAACTGGTCTTGTTCTCTTCGTACCGTCTGAGTGTTTGAGCACCGTTATGTGGGATCTCTCTTGCCTCGGTCTAAGCGTTCTAGCTAATAGGGTGTCCATTTTGTTCGCCTTCTCGAAAAAAGTCCGTTTTGACCAGGTCATAGCCCTAGCCGCATCATCTAATAATAAAGTGCGAACGTCCCGTCTTACTGCTCCCAATTGCCTGAGGGTGTCCTCTGTCGGCACCGCTTGATGTCTTTGTTCCAAGGATCTCAGGTTCCCCAGCAACTTCTCCAGCTGTTGGTATTTCAATTTCTTTTTTCTGGTGGCCAGCTTGATCAAGGTCCCTCTGATAACTACCTTGTGGGCCACCCAAATCGTGCATGCGTTCACCTCGGGGGTGGTATTCCATTCAAAATATTCCGTGATTCCTCTCCTGACTTGCTCCAGTATCTCTGGGTCTTGAAGTAGGGACGTGTTCAATTTCCACGTCCATGGTGAGGCGATACATAAGTTACCCAGCGTGATGGAGATATCAGCATGATCCGACCATGGGATGTTGCCTACCCGGGATCCTACAGTTCGGGACATGCCTGCTGCGTTAGTCAAGAAGAGGTCTATCCTTGAGTACGTTCCGTGGGGAGCTGAGTAAAAAGAGTAGTCCTTATCACCTGGGTGGTGGGCTCTCCAGATGTCTACGAGTCCTGTGGCGGCTATAAAATCTTTAAGCAGACGGTCTTGTCCCCCCCTACCCTGTGACCTAGGAGCACCCAACCGCGAGCTCCTGTCCACCGCCGGGCACGGGGCCGCATTGAAATCGCCCCCTAAAAATATCATTCCATGGGGCAACCCCCTAATTTTCTCCTTAAGCACCACCCAAAACAATGGGTCTGGCTGGTTCGGCGCGTAGATGTTAATCAAATGGACCGTATGTGAATGTAAAACGCCTGAGACGATAACCATTCGACCTTCCGGGTCTACTTCAAAATGAGTTTGACGGAAGGGGCAGCTACTTCTAATGAGAATCGCTACGCCATTTCGTTTGCAATGGGACCTGGCTTCAAAAGAGCCTGCATACGCGTGATCTTTCAACCTAAACTTAGCCTGTGCTGGCAAATGGGTCTCTTGGACAAAAGCAATGTCCGAGTTCATTCTTTTTAGTTCCCGCAATAGGAGTCTACGCTTCTTAGGAGCGTTTAAACCCTTAACATTCAGGGATATGATTTTAATCTCCATCAGGCGAGTCAATTAAGGCTCTGTTTAATGATCTCACGGACTTTGTCCTCTCAGACTCTCTATCGGGTCCCTGAAGCAAGCCCTCTGCCAGCCCCCCGACCCCGCAGCCCCCCCTGGAAAGAGAAAAAGGGGATAGAAGAAAAGAAAAGAGGGAATAGAATACAGAATAGTAAGAAAAACTGCACCTGGACACAGTCCGATGCACTGAAATTCTGGTCTTACCATCCGCCAGAATATTTTGGGGAACGTGGTCCTGTTTCCCTGCCACGATCAACGTTGGGAGGAACAGCGGGTTACTGAGCTCCTACCAATTAGGCGCCAATTGTAAGATACTTGGACCTTTACATCAAAAAACCTTTCGCTTGTCAAATATAACCCACTGGCATTCCTTGCCCCCTCCGCCCCCGGGCCGGCTCCACTCGGGGAACTCTGTGTCAGTCCCCGCCCGCCACTGACCCCTTGGTGTGGTAGATATTCTGCCTCCCCTCCAAATTCAATAGCGTCATGGACAGGTATTCTCCTAATGATCAGCATGAGGTGCTAGTATGGTGACCTTGAGCTCGTAATTTCCGCGGCCCTCTATCATCAAGCATACCAGGGGAGACCTCACGGTGAATGTGTGTGCAATCAAGTCTGGGGCCACCGTGGTCTGGCATACTTATCTATAATTATTACCCCAAAAAACTTAAAAACTAGATAGGGAACTGACAAAAAAGAAATATGTACATTTACCGTCATGGCACCTTCCCCCCACCTGCTGGAGCGAGTGGACCCCTTCCCCTCACACCAGGAACCACTGCCCACCCGACCGGACGGTCGCCCCCCCGGCCGATCCCCCGGAACCAGTACAGGGCCGGCCGGAGGGGGCAAGCAGCCGCACAGGAGGCAGCGGCCCCCATGAAATCCCAGCTATAGTAGCCGTCCCCAGGCAAACGCGGCCCACCCCGCCCATCAAAGGAACGCCAAGCGGGTCCGCGAACGCCTGGGGCCAGGCCCACCGTCGTAAGCCATAAGTTGGGGCCAACAGCCCGAGGGGGGAGAGTAGCTATACATACTGGTGCACAGGTCAGGCGCACTGTTACGTGATTAAGTATACCAGCTCCATTTCAGCGGTAAAACTAAATAAGGCTTCACCAGGTTTGGAATGCTATCCCTTGTTGTTTCCTGACTTCAGTGGTCGACTCACATTATGCCCTACCCTTCATTATCCAAATCACCGTATTGTGTTGCGGGGGGGGAATTTCCATTCACTGTCCAACCACACCCCCATATCGCCCCTTACACCCCCATTCCCGCCAGGACCTCCACTCCATATGCATATTGTTTGGGACCCTTCATCATTAAAAAGGGAGATCCCTAAGATAACGGTATCCGCAGTTAAAGCGGACGGCTCTATCATTCCAACCTATGCATCTACAACTACACCGCCATAAAATGAACCTAAACAATGCATTACCAGATTTCACCCACTAACCCCATTATTACCAAACACCTGCGATTTACACATACAGTGCCCACCAAACCCACCCCTTCCTAAACCTTTTTTTTTTTTTATAATTTTTCTTTTTGCTTTTGTGTTTTGTCGTAAATTAAAACTTATCTTCCCGTTTAGGGGGAAGGTCTCGGGGCACTGGACAGTAATCAAACAGAAACACGGGACAAAAACACTAAGAGGGGGATACCGCCCACGGAGAGGACATACGGGCGACTTGCCCTGCGGGCCCCGAGCTGCATAAATGTACCCGGACAGTGACATCAATGGGGCACTAGCACACACAGTCTACATTATATAATCCGGATTTTTAAAGTCCCATGTTCGATCTTCTTCCCCCACACCGACCCAGAGTGAAAAACAACAATAAAAATCATACACGTGAGGTGCAGTGGTGCTGTGGTCCAAGTCTGGGGGGAGTAGCCTCAGCATCTGCACCCGGGGGAGGGGGGGTACCCCAACGCAGCCCTTATCGTCGCAGGAAACACCTGTAGTATAAACAAGGGTCAACCGGGGGTCAAAAAACAGGTGGCCCCGATCTCCCTGGCAAAAACAGTCACAAGCAGCCAACTCAGAGGTAAGGCCCAAGCGCAACGTGCGCTTCTGAGTCCCCCTGCCCCATCCCCCGCCCAACAAAAAAGGAAGTCTCGGTTGCCCGCAACAAGGGAAAAAACAATAATAATATCTCTTGCTGGTATAAGAGGAGTATACGATACCGCTAGGTTCAGCGTTGGCTTCTAGGTCCCACTCCGCGCCACTCCGCTTGTATCTGTGGCAGCTCCTCCGGTCCCATCGCAAAGTTAGGCAGATCCGGGGGAGGCTGGAGCCCCAGGCCATGGAACAGGCGCTTCGGGTCTCCCCCCGGCGACAGGATGTGCGCACGGCCGTCACGGAAGACCATCAATTTAAAGGGGAAGCCCCAGGCATATTTCAGGCCAGCCCCTCTCAGAGCCCCAGTAATGGGCCGCCAGTCCCTTCTCCTCTGTAGCGTCGAAGGGGCCAGATCTTGGTAGAATGAAATAAGGGCTCCATCATGTCGGATAGGACCAGCTCTACCCTTCTTCATCAAAGCCTCTTTGGTTTTGTAGTATAGAAAGTTTATAATGACGTCCCTCGGGGTGTTGGCCTCCGCTCTTTGCGCCTTTAGCGCCCTATGGGCTCTCTCCATATGCCAATGTTCCTCCGAAATGTGTGGGAGGAGAGGCTGGAAGATCGACATTAACAGCACTTGTAAGTCTTCATCTGGCCCTTCTGGTAAGCCTCTCAGGCGAATGTTATTCCTCCTAGAACGATTGGCCATGTCTTCCAGAGCCAGGTCCATATCAATAACGTGAGCCGTCATGCAATTTACTCTATCGGCAACTTCATTGTGGGCCTGAGTTGTCGCTTCCATGCGTTCCTCCAATTTAGCAGTACGCTCCTCCAGAGCGCAAATATCCGCCTGTAGTACCGCCGTTGATTTGGCGATCTCCCCCGCAAGGAAAGATCTGACTTCTGCCAGTTTTGCTAGAACAGTGTTCTGTTCCGCAGAGAGTGCCTCTCTATCCGCGCCAGGCGATGCGTGTGGGGAGCCCCCGTCGCCATCTTGGCTGTCGGCGCGGCTGTGCCGAGATGCTGTAAGAAGGTCCAAAACGGAGCCCCCGGACTCCGTGGTCCTCTTGGGCTGCTTCTTGGGGGGTCTCCTATCCATGATAGGGTATATGAGGGTAGAAAATGCTGCAATTTAAGGTCGCTTTTGTAGCTTTAGGCGCCGGTGGAACGGAGCTCTAGTAGAATACGTCTGGTCTCATCGACAGTCAGACCACGCCCCCCGGTATTGCACATTTTTAACACACAGATATAAATGCTTACTTTGGCCACTGTTTGTGACTAAGTCATTACTAAAAAAGACTGGACATACCCCATATTGTCTTTTTGTCTTTGCAAATGGTATACCATCATGGGGGTAATTCTCATTCCTGGGCTACAATACAGTCTCAAAGGCAACATAATCAGCCTGGCAAATTTCAATGTGTATAAACTGAAAAATGAAACGTGCTTTATTTGACCCTGTAATTTTCCAAAACACCAAAAAACCTGCACATGGGGGTACTGTTGTACTTGTGAGACTTTGATGAATACAAATATGTGCATTTTATTGCAGTAAAACCTAACAGTATGATGACATTCACAGTTAAAATGTTACGCAGAACTAAAATAATGTAAAAAAAAAATTGGGACATTTTTTAACAAGTAGTTCATGTGAAATGAAAGCCCTGTTTCTCCTGAACAACATTATATATAATAAGTGTGGGTGCACTTAATATGAAAAAGGTGAATTACTGTTGAACAGACATATAGCGCAGATTCCAGTTTTTGTTTACATTTTGTTTTGATCACAACGTGTACAACTGGCTCAGTACTTAAGGGGTTAACACATTTAAATCAGACAAATCGGAGGCATCCTGTATAAAATATAAGGAAGCCGATAATGCATGTAAAAAGGAAATTAGATAAAATAAACTAGAAAATGAGAAAGTGATAGCCAAAGAAAGCAATCAACCCAAAAAAGTACATAAATAAAAAAATTTTAAAATTAAAAAAAAAGTGTAGGTTAACAGAAATCAGAGAGGGATATGTTAGTAAATGAAGATCAGTAAGAGAAGGCAGACATTTTAAATAATTATTTTTAATCAGTATATACAAGATGGAACCTAAAGGAAAATGAAAAAAAAAATGCAGGTAAATTATGATTGCATTACTCAACAACTAAAGAAAGTTAAAGGACCACTATAGGCACCCAGACCATTTCAGCTTAATGAAATAGTCTGGGTGCCAGGTCCAGCTAGGTTTAACCCTTTTTGCTGTAAACATAGCAGTTTCAGAGAATTAACTGCTATGGATTAATCCAGCCTCTAGTGGCTGTCTCATTGACATACACTCACATACGCTTCCACGCTTCATACTGTGATTTTCACAGTGAGAAGACGCCAGCGCCCATAGGAAAGCATTGAGAATGCTTTCCTATGAACTGGCTGAATGCGCGCGTGGCTTTTGTCGCACATGCGCATTCAGCTAGGGACGTCAGAAGAGGGAGGACAGTCCCAGCGCCGAGGGAGCCCGGCGCTGGAGAAAAGGTAAGGGATTAACCCCTTCCTCCCCCTTCAGTCCGGCAGGAGTGGGACCCTGAGGATGGGGGCACCCTCAGGGCACTATAGTGCCAGGAAAACAAGTTTGTTTTCCTGGCACTATAGTGGTCCTTTAATGTAAACTACGCCCCAAGGACAGGAAAGTACTAAAGTAGTGTTTACCAAGGCACAGTTCCACACAATAGAATAATTTTCAAATTAAAAGAAATTGGTATAGATCAGCGTTTCCCAATTGGTGTTCCACTGAACCTTGGGGTTACGCGAGAACACAAATGGGATTCAGCAAAAAAATGGCCGCCGTGATTTGGCCTGGTCGGTGCCGCTGATAATTGAGGCCGGCGACGAGGGGGCACACTCCTTTGCTTGGCTCCCTCACGTGCCCCGTCGTGATGCCAGAACTGGAACATGACGTTACTCCGGCCCGGCATCATTAAGAGGAGCGCGAGGGAGCTGAGCAGGAAGATCACTGCTCTCTCATCTCCCACACTATATGCCTGCATGCCAGCCACTCAGCCCAGCAGCCATTTAGTCAGTGAGAGTGTATGTGTGTCTGAGTTTGTGTCAGTGTGTGTATCTGTGTGTCAAGGTTTGTGTATGTGTCACTGTGTGTATCTGAGTACAAATACACCCCTGTATCAAAACCCTAACATTATATACAAACAACAACTGTACACACAAAAGCACACCTGCTCCTAAGTACTACTATCTGTTTACTATCTGCTCTACGGCACATTATGTTATCAGCACATTATGTCAAAGGGTTACACTGAAAAAATTCATTGGGAACCCCTGGTATAGATGAAAATCTGTGTGTAGATCATAGATAGAGTACAAAAAGGTTTAATTAAAGTACAATTTTCAAGATGGGCAAAAGTGCTAAGTGGTGTCCCTTAGTGTTTTGTTCTGGGACTGCTTCTATTCACTTGCTGAATGAACCTACTTGAATCCCTCTCTGCTGTGTAGGCATTACTGTTGATTATACATATCATAGCCAGCCCACCAATGTGTGGGATAGAACTGTCTCTTCACTATGCCCATTCTGGTACATGAGACCAACATAATAATCCATTCGTGAATTATTTGTATATACTTTGTTTTGCAAGTTTTAAAGTAGTTTTACTTTGCTATTTTCCTCTTTCTGGCTCTTACCTACACAATATGATACATTTCAAGACACTTAGGTTAATTAGAAGCTCCTCTACATGATTGCTATGTTGCCTCACATACAACCTGTAATATGTTCAAATAGATGTGTGTGTGACATGTTCACAGCTCATTTTTACCTGTAAAACGTTAACGAGACTAAACTAGACCAGACAAAAACATATGATATACTCACAAATAAGTAACAACACAAGGCACCCGCTCGTGGATAAATATGGCAAAATGAATAACTCACATAACATAATAAAGGACCATCAACACTTAAAAAGACACTTTACTTAGAGATGCCCAGAAAGCAGCAGTGGATATTCTTTACCTACAAGTACTAAAATTCCCCAACTTAGGTCGATTTTTACCCTGTTCAACACCACTTCCCCTATATTACCAAGTCAAGATGAGTATATTCAAGACAAGAGGAGTGGCATTCAAATTATTAAAAAAAAAAAATCCTCATGGTATATTTTTCATCTTACCCTACCCTTACCTTTTGTGTCACTATACTCACTCCCTCTAGCATGTAAGCTCATTGGGCAGGGGCTATAATCCCTCTGTTCAAACTTGTCTGGTTACAAATACGTGTCTGTTAGTCTACCCATTGTACAGCACTATGGAACTTGTTGGCGCTTCATAAATAAACATAGTAATAATAATAATAATCTTAGTCTGTTTTCTCAAAATTCCCTTAACACATTAGTTACTATGTATGACCCCAGTACCCATCAGCGTAATATTCTACATAAAGTTTCACCAAAGTTCCTGCGGAGCAGAAGGGAGTTACAATAATCTGCAGAGAAATTAACCATATATTAGACACGGTTTTAGACAAATCTAAATCATTAAAGTCCATTACAAAGCATTAGTTAAACTCCTAATAGAATAAGCATATTATGACATTTGGAGCACTCTGCACGCTGCAAAGAAATCATCCTCTTACTATTCGTCGGCCCACCATTTAAATTCTAGGATAGACATCTGTTTCCTTTCAAGCTCATTCAATGACTTAGCATGTAATTGCTCATTAGGAGGTATTGCTATTCACATTAAAAGATCAATTCAAATTTAGACTATGTAGACAATAGAGACTCAATGACACGTTACTGAATGAAAGAACTTTTACCACCATAATACATAAAGAATTGAAATCATTCTTCCAACTTAATGACATTCCAAATACAAAGCAAACCTACATATGGCAAGCTCATAAAGCTGTTATAAGAGGGCTATTGAAGAGCAGAAGCTACATACCTAAAAAGAACAAGCCAACTCTGAATGTTCAAATGCTTAAGAACATTGTGTGACACTTCCATTGCTCACTTTCTCTCACCTTCTGATACCCTAGCTGGACAAAAAGCCTGTTTAAAAACTAAACAAAACAAATAAAATAAAATAGTTCCAAAACAACTTACATGTTTCATAAGCTAAAAATGAAATATTATAGGCAAATCAACACAATGTACTAACTTCTCTCAATCACACCACGTGAGAGGAATTCACAGATCAAAATACACTACTTGATTTCTGATACAGAACAGAAAATCACAAAACCATCTGTAACATCTGTAACATGTTTGCCAAATGTTATGGTACACTATATAATTGAAATAGGGATTCATCCATACATAGAAACATACACCAACCAACCACAAAAGAAATAGATACATTTCTATCACGTACCACCTTACCTAGCTTATCATAGGCACAACGTGAGCCCCAATCACATTAGCAGAAATTGAACAAATCATAACATTTCTACCATCTCACAATGCGCCCGAGCGGAAAGGCTTCACAAAACTATATTGCAAACGGTTCTCTTCCATCCTCGCTCAAACTTTAGATCAATATCCTTATTAAAATCTGATGCAGAGAGGCGGGGCCTGATCGTGGAGCAGAGAGGATGCTTGCCTCAACAGCTCTGTTTGAAGGGACCATATTAAGCGACATAAATCGCAAACACAGAGAAAAAACAAGAAACTAAGGCCACCCGGAGCAAGGGTACATCGGGGAGTACGCACAGATACCTGACAAGCGACACACACTCGACACCCTTTAACAACCTCTTAACATGGCACACGCGGGTGAGATGGACGCTCTCCTGCTGTTAAAAATGACAGGACACCCGACAGGGAGCCCTTGTTCCCCCCTCCATGGCCCCGGCAGGGGTTATCCCAGGCCGGCCCCACTTGAGCACCTGGTCAAGCTGCCCCCGAGGGGAACAAGCACTAAGTTCGGAGGAAGCCTCTAAAGTCCACAAAATGGCGGACGCCTCATGTTGCTATACCAGCATTGCTGAACGAGCGGGGCACAGCATGGCGGACACCACACACAACTCTACACCCAGTTTCCCGCTGCCCCCTCTATCGGAGAGGCTTGATCGCTTACTAAACGACTTCTGGGCCAATCTTGCCTCTTGCCGGAGAATCCGTGAGACGGAACCACCTGCAAAGATCCCACAGAACCTCACACAGCAGCCAGCAGCTCCTGGATGGGGACGTGGAGCGGCTCGAGTAGCGGGGGGAGAAGGCGGGGAACCAACGACAACCCCGACACCGCAAAATCGGATCAGTGGTATGCCGCCCTACACCTATGCAGCGACACCTCCAGAGAATACCCCCTCCAAGTGAACCTCCCATCCCATAGAACACCAAGCAACCTGGGAGACCACGCTACACAAGGAGACCCCGAGCCTCAGCAACACTCTACCGCAGAACGGATGCAACAGGCTCACAGCAGTACACCGGAACCCAGTATTGGAGAACCCCACACATACAGCTCGCTGGACTCTGGCAAACATGTACCTGCAACCTCCCAGAGCGGGGCATCGGCTAGGCAGCCCACAAGGACACTCAACAAGCATGCAAAGCCTGCGGTAACCACACCACCCGGTGTCCTCCTGGCACACACAGGCAACTTAAAGTTTGATTACTCTTCTGTCCCCTACAGAATATTGAATATACACACTTGGACTAGATTACCACTTTTACCCTGTTTTATGCATTGCCTTCGTTGCCCTGTATGCCTTAGAGTTCAAGCCATACCTAGTAAGCTAATGCCATTAACTCATTTTAAATAATAATGCAATAACGCCTCAAGAAATTACCATGCCTGCACTGCACTAATGTTTTCAGCATATTCAGACCCAAATGTAGCCCTTTTGATCTGTCTAGCATGCACTGTAAGTGCTGGCCTATGTACTCCTACTCATATATAAAAGTTAACTCATAACCTGCCTAACATGTATGATAAACATGGACCCATAGCTTTTCATAGTAGTGGTTATTACTCAAATTTGCTATAGGATTCTAACAGCCAGTTTCTTGGGGCGACCCACTGTGGCACTTTTTCTGCAATGGGTTTGGCACAGGCTTGCTCTCTTAACCCGCACGAGCAGAAGGGCACCCACAGTACTAACCTGACCTCTACCAACTTGTTGACCCAAAAGTTATGCAGGTCTGTAAACCACGTTCAAGTTACTGTTTACCCATGTTATGCATAGTCTGGCACACAATATATTATAAAATGTGCAGTGTTATTAGATGCCATACAACTGTCTACATGTCGATCACTTGGCGGGTAATAGCTCTTCTGGCATTGCTCATATCTATGTATTCTATATGCACGACAAAATAAAGAATGAAAAAAAAAAAAACAATCTGATGCAAATAATTTTCCTAAACTGTTCGCAAACAGATTAGTATCCATCCTTCCACCTAGTATTTACTCTGCTCAGGTGGGCTTTGTCAGAGGTAGATAAAGTGCTGATTGTCTCAAAAAAAAAGTTTCCTTATTGTATATCATACAGAAACAAAACAGTTGTTTGCTATTATGACTTGATGCCGAAAAGGTTTTTGATTAACTTCACTGATCTTTTCTACAAGCCATTATTCTCAAATTCAAATTTTCTAATCAGCATTTAAAGCACTATACACTAATCCAATCACCAAAGTCTTTAATGCAGGATTCCTATCTAACGCTTGCCTTATTACAAATGGAATCAGGCAGAGTTGTCCCCTTTCAACTTTTGTTATACATCTTGGCCTTAGAACCATAAACAGAAATGACAAAATAAATCCAGACACAAAAATGATTTCTCTGGGGAAAGAAGATTCATACTCTGGCTTTTAAAGAACAACGTTCTAATGACATTAACCCACCTGCACACATTCGTACCGACTTTCCACAACATTCTACATGACTACTGCAAATGCTCTATTATAAATTAAACCTCGCGGGGGCGGGGCCTGAACTTCATGGTAGCCAGATGCAACTCAATGGTGCTCCTCAGCTCATCTTTGTCTATTGCAATCCTACTGATTACAAGCACTCTCATCTGGCACCCTTTAGGACTTATCTGCCATCTGATTCCAGTGGTGGGCCCTGAACAAGGTCTGTGAAGTACCGGCTGTCTGTTGCTGCCAAAGTTCCAGGCGAGTCATAGTGGGACCGTTGGGTGGGAAAGGCAGCCGCTCTCCTGCTCTATTAGGCACTGCCTCAGCACAGAGTCCTCCTGCTCTTGCAACCCCATTTCCCCCCCCAGGTTATCCTGGTCCACACTGTGCCAGTGTACTTACCCTCAACAGTATTCAGAGACTGCTCCTGCTCATCTTCTCCATGGAGTGGAACTAGCCAAGATGGTGGATGCACTCTCTTCTCATGGGTAAACCTTGCCTCTACACCAATGATACTCCATAGAAGATTCTCTGCTAAACTGTAAATGATATTCGAGCACTTCTGGGCAACATTAGAGTCCCAGACTCGCTCATCAGGTGAGTGAGACGCATGGAGAGAGGAGCGCCTCCTCTGGTTCAACATCTTTAAAAACACCTGGCACTGAACGTGTTAGCCCTCCTAGGCCAAAGGCCACAAGGGGCCGAACACCAAAGCATCACCCAAAAAGAGTGCCTTGTGAACCCTCAGCACTTCCCAATGTCGGGTGTTGGTTGATGGGATCTTGCCCTCCAAAGCATCCGTCTTGTCTGAGTCTCCATACATGTCAAATACTAGTAGATGCCATCTTACAAGTTAGAAATATATATATGTGGTGCTTTTTTTTTAAATCTTTTTTTTTTTTAAGTGTTGATTTGCTTTCTTTGATTATTATTACTCTCCTATGCTCGTTAGACGTAGCAGTAACACCCTAAGGTGCTTGTGCCAGTGAATTCTTATCCTACCCTTGCCTAACAAACATTTTATATAATGTTACTAACATGTTATCTAGCTTGTTTTATTTGACACATGTCTACCTACTCTTGTTTTTAATATACCAAAAAATATTGCACACTTTGTAAAATTCAATTGACATGTTTTTCTAAGCATAATTGTTAACTACCAAAATAAAGATTGACAAAAAATCCATTAAACCTCAGTAAAACTCAGGCAATGGGAGTGGAGATGGAGGACAACACCCTTTCAGTCTTAAAGACCAACTATAATTACGATTGGAGATCGGACTCTGTGACCTGTATGGGAGTTTCTCTCCAATACGCAAACTTCAATTTATATCAACTAAACTATACCAACTTATGCAAACATATCCAAAAAATTATTTAAGGATGGAGAGGGAAATTCTTTTGGGCGGCATAGCATAGTGCTTATTCTGAATCCAAGTACCTGTAACTGTCTTCCAACAATACAAAGAACCATAAATAAATGTATATCGATGTATATGCATCCATGCCTGCCCTTTAAATGGACCAAATAACCAAAAAAAGTGGTGACCAGCAGAAGCTCTCTAATAATCAAAGAAATAAGAGCAGCAAAGAAAACAAACAAAAAACACATTCATGTAGCCTCACACGCAATTTCCCATTAAACAATAGTGTAGGTGTGCTGTGAGTGTATAATAGTACTCATATAATATTATCTTATTCAGCAACAGCTTCTTTCCACATGGCAAAATAAATACATAAGCAAAAATAATAAAACAAACAAATAATAGTGCAGATCGTAATATAAATAATAACAATAAATAATAAAGTGCTTCAATGAAGAATATCCCAAATGGAAGAAGTGGTCACTGAAGACAGAGCCCACACTTGGTTCTATAGGATGCGTGCTTATAAGGTCTTACAGACAGGAAGGAAACCTGACATCTCACTAATCAGGAGTCAAAATATTGTAGAAATTTCAAATATGCTATAGTTATGTATTGCTCCTAGACATGACACTGGGGAAAGGAGAACATTGAGTGTAGGTAAAATCCTTCACTATTTATTGAAAAAACTAATATAAGTGTTTACATCTCAGTACTCAAATAGCAGCAGAATAACAGATAAGATGAAACTGTTAAGGTCTAATACCAGGCACGGCTTTTCTACCAACACTTATAAACAGAAAACCACTAGTAAACTGTCATTGCTTTTGGTATCTGTAATGTCTCAACCAGAGCCTGATTAACATACGGGCTGATCAGGGCCGGTGCAAGGATTTTTGGGTACACAGGCAAAGATGCATTTTGCCCCCTCCCCCCCAAAAAAGCATCTTCATTTGTGCGCTCTCAACTCCCCTTTTGTGTTTTGTATCCCCTCTTTTACATGTCTTACTCCCTTTAGTGTATCTCATCCCCTATTTTTCCCATTGTGTGTCTTACACCCCCCTTATTTTTATTATCATTATTTCCACCCATATAGCCAAAAAAATTTAAATATGTTGAAAAAAGGTTGTTCTGTAAACATGAGAAATGCTTATTCTACCAGATATATTTTCTTGGCTATTTAATCTCAGGCTCAGGCTTCCAAATGCATCCTAGAAAAATGGAATCCATTTCTAAATCACCTTTAATAAGGGATTTAAAGCCATGTAAAGATTTGTTGTTTTTTTCCAAGTACTATCGGAGGTTTACAAAAGGTTTTGCTTTTTAACAGCTCTAATAACTAACTCTGATGAAAACAGGAAGGCTGTGCAAGAGATGGACTCCTGAAGCTCTCAAATAATTTAAGATGATTAAGCTTGCTTTTGCTTCAGCACCCATTGACCTCCATAATTACCAGCTCTTCTCTTGGACAGATTATTATTCCAGCTGGGTACACAATGACTGGTAGGGCATATGCATTGATGGCTTGGATCTTGGATGTTGCTATCCTTCCTGCCACTTCCTCATGGCTGCCTTGTGTTTGTGGTATACCCACGTACTTGCAGCTGTTCTCTACATCTCCTATTTACTTTCCTGAGGCTGTACATATATATATGCCGTTGTTTTACCTGACTGTTTACTGTTTTAAAATTATTTTAGTATACTACACACTTTCTAATATCCTATACACTACTACACTATCACTTAACACTAACCACTACACCAGCGGTGCCCAAGAGGTAGATCTCCAGATGTTGTAGAACTACAACTCCCATGATGCTTTGCATGCCTTTAGAATTTTTGTAGTTTTAAAACATCTGAGGGTCTACCTTTTGGGCACCGCTGGCCTACCTCTCTTGATGGCATTATTTTCTCATTATACACAGTTCACTTTTATGTATCTTCACACCATCCATCTCTTTATCTCTGTATGCATGTAAAAATAATATATATATATATATATATATATATATATATATATATATATCCCTCTCTCTGTGAACATGAGAAAAAGAAAAAGTACAATGTGCGGCTTAGTTGATCAGGCCCTACATTTTAAAGGGCATGCCAAAATACAAATGTTTTGGGACCCCTGTCCATTTATCAATGTAACAATGCCCTTCAATATACATATACATACAAAGTTGTGATTTTGATAGTTTAGTCCAGTGGTTTCCAAACCAGTCCTCGAGGCATGCCTACCAGTCTGGTATTTAGGGATTATCCAGTTGTGTCTAAGGTGTTTTTAAAGAAAAAAAAACACCTTGACACAACTGGGTAGCCCCTAAATCCTGGATGATTGGTTTGGAAACCACTGGTTTAGTCTTTCTTTAAACTGACTTTGTTATTAAACTTCCCAGGTGAAACACTTTATGTTATAGTACATTTTATAAGTTAAAACTTTTGTTGTAGACATCACAAACACATGTGCATTATGACATCACTTGGCTTGAGATTATAAGGCTGTGAGTTTCCTACACTGCAAGCATTGCTAACTGAGAGAAGTTGTAAGTACTTGTAGTACTAGTTTTTGGACTTTTAGTAATATTCCTTTGGCTGAAATAAATAATAAAAATGATGGCTAGAAATAATTGCAATTGTATGTTTACTCCAAAATAGCCAGCTTGGACAAGGATAGGAGTAGAAGAATATTTCCAAACATATTATTTTTCCCTAAAATATTGAATTCCATGGTCAATTTTCAACTATTTCTGGTTTAACCCTGTCAATATTTTTTTTTCTATTTTTAGTTTTTATTGAGTTTTTGCATAGGTAGATAAGCCAATAGGGTATAGAAGGGAACACAGGGAGGGTGGATAATTACAGTCTTTACAGCACAATTCCATGTTCAGCCAAGTTGGTCATTTTATACAAAGGGTAAAATATACATTCTGTGCTACGCGTTGGAATAATAACAATCAAGATAGTAATGTATATGGTATTGACGGTAATGTCAGCCGCTTTCACCTTTTACATCTGGAGCTTGAGTGAGTTGAGTATATGTGGCTTGGGTGCTTGTTTATTGTTCATGGGAAGTGTGCGTTTGTCGTTGAGATGAGAAGGGTGTCGGGGGGTGAGGAAAAACCAGGAGTAAAACTGGTATACCTAACTTGCAGCCCTGAATGCTCATTGAGTGGTAGCGAATAAGAGAAAAAGACATTTACAACTGACTCGTCCCTTGATATATAGTGTTACTCGAGTATGACTTCAGAGTGGTATAGCACATTGCATTGTAGTGTGTTGTCGTTTAGTATGGCCTGCCCACCTTCTAAAGTATTCGCTTGAGATTTTTCACTTCAGTGCGGTGTGCATGCCAACTTGCCCACCTTTTAGTGTATGTCTCTTCTTGGCCTTTCAATCTGTATGCCATACGTTCATAATCAGATATATCTTCGATTCTATTCCACACTTCCAGAGGGGAGTGGGTATCTTTGTTTTTCCAACTGGGAATGGTTTTAAACCCTCCTCTGAAAAAAGCTGTGATACTGAAATTATTCCCTTGTGGCGCCATGGTTCCATATTGATATTTTCCAATAGTTCTAGATTATTTATAGTTAACAGAGATTATTTGTATGGGGGCAAAGTATATGGTGTTGTTCGTGCCGGTGAGAGAACTTACCCATTTCCTCCAGCTGCTTATTAAGAATCTCGTACTAGCCATGGGTTTGTGTTTGTTAGATTCCCATGGCTTGAGCTATCGTAGCATAGAATTTATTGTGTGCTGTTGTATGCAAGCGTTTTCTAAGGGGGTCCAGATTTGGGGTGTAATGCGTGATAGTGCGTCCAGCCCCTGTGCCAGGACTGCCGTTCTATAGTATGCCCTAACGTTTGGAATGCCGAGTCCGCCGTTGTGGACAGCCAGGTGAGTCATCTGGTTTTTTTTTTTTCCATATGTATGAATTGAATATGTTCTGGAATCTTTTAAGCAATTTGTTGCCTAATGCTATGGGTATGATACGGAATAAGTACAGGACATGGGGTAATGCCATCATTTTGACAGTGTTTACTCTCCCTAGCCATGATATTTCTAGGTTTTGCCACACATCTAGTTGTGCCTGGAGTTTGTAGGTTAAGGGGAAATGATTTTCTTGGATCAACTGGCTGTTTGATTTGGTCAGATTAATTCCCAAGTATTCTAAGGAAGTTTTCCTCAAGTCGAAGGGGTGCTGCGCTTTAAGGGTCTGGAGCATGTTTGAGGTGATGCCTACGGGCAGTGCTTGTGTTTTTTTAAAGTTGCTTTTGTAGTATGATACTTGTCCGTATTGTAGAAGAAATTTAATCAGGTTCGGGATGGAGTGAGTAGGGTTTGTGAGGAAGAGGAGTACGTCATCTGCGAAAAGGGCTATTTTGTGGATCCCTGCTGGGGTGGATAAACCCTCTATTCCCTGGTGTTTTTTAATGTGGAGTATAAGAGGTTCCAAACAGAGTATAAACAAAAGTGGGGATAGTGGGCAACCTTGGCGCGTACCATTGCTAATATGAAATTTATCTGATATGAATCCGGAATTGAAGATTCTTGCCGAGGGGGACTGGTACAAGGCCATTATCCCTCTCAGGGTTTGCTTTGTGAATCCCATTTTAAGTAGTGTAGCTTCCATGTATTCCCAGTTCAAGCGGTCAAATGCCTTTTCGGCATCGAGCGCCAGAACTGTTCCTGCTTGTTGGCTGGTTTTGGCCCAGTTGATTAAATTTATAAAGTGTCTGGTGTTATCTCCTGCCTGTCTTCCCGGGACAAATCCTGCTTGTTCTACGGAAACTAATTCTTTAAGGTGGGTTTTCAACCGTAGTGCCCATAGTT